ATTTATGTATACATTTGTCTATATCTATCTCGATTCGTTTTGGCTGTTACAAACAACCGTTATGTGAACAAAATTAATATACCCTTGTGCACAAGTGCGCTCGGGTATAAAAACTAGACATCAATCTCATTGGTTGAGAGGTAGATGTCGCCCTATGCACTGCGTACGCTATAGCGGAAATGGATGACACGCCATTTCTTTAAATGAAATTAATTGGTACTCCTATATATGCACATTAGGGTGTTCCAAAAGTGCATGTTAAAAAGTATAGTCGGAATTCGTATGCTCTCACCTCCTAGGATGCTTCTATAGCGAAAAATATACTCTTATTTTTTTATTTTAAAATCAAAAAATATTTAGAGGTCTCTCAAAGCGCCCAAAGTTTTCCATGTAAATATTTTATATGGGAAAAAACAACTTTTCGTAGAAATGGTATAGAATAGTTAAAAATGAATCTTTTTCTTTCAGAAAACTCTGTTTATCTGCAGGAGATTCCCAGTAATAATACGCAATTGTTTATTTAACCATTTTTTCATTGCAACTGTAATTTATAGGTCCGCCAAAAACCTACAAGACCCCTGAAAAATGCAATGCGGTGACCAATAAAAAATCGTTAGTATTAAAAAATGGTTAAATAAACAATTTGGTAATATTATCGAAAGTCTCCTAAAGAGAACAGTGTTTTCCGATTGAAAAATATTGATAGGGGTATTCTTTTTTCGGTATAAAACAATCCTAGGAGGTGAGAGCATTACAATTCCAACTTTATTGTTTTTGGACCACCCTAATCTAAAAAAATTTGTGTGTGCATGTATGTGCACTGCATTTATGTGCACCAATCTATTAATGTCGTTGAATTGTTTTAATATCTATTGCGAAATTTTATACAGACAAGAATAAAATGTAGAAAATAAATAATATCGAGCCCTAACCGCCAAAATAACGTAAGCGATATTTTTTTCAAAATTTTCTTTATGATGCAGAAATATTCCTAGAGCATCTAGATGCATTTCTGCATCAAAAATAAAATTTTGAAAAAAATGTCGCTTACGTTATTTGGCGGTTAGGGCTCGATATAAAAAACGCTTTTATAAATAGAATAAAAAGTAAAAAATAATATCTCTAAGTCCCATAGTATTTGTCTTGATAACTTTTGATTTTGAAATTTTAGCAAAAGTCATTATAAACAATTTATGAGATAGAAAATTAAAAGCGTGGGGCGCAAGTAATAGACCTTAATTTATATGCAGGGTAATATTTATATGTATGTATGTATGTGGATATATGAATAACGACCGCTTAAAATCGATCTCAAGTTTGTACTTTCTCTGTAGCAATTTTAGGTCTATGTTATGTAGTTTGACAGATGTCAATTAAATCTAATGCTTTGTATTACATGCGCTCCACGTTTTTCATTTTCAATCTCATAAATTGTTTATAATGACTTTTGCTAAAATTTCAAAATCAAAAGTTATCAAAACAAATT